TGTGTGTGTGTGTGTGTGTGTGTGTGTGTGTGTGTGTGTGTATATGTATATATATATATACAAACTGGATTCCAAAAAAGTTGGGACACTAAACAAATTGTGAATAAAAACTGAATACAATGATGACCCTTATGCACAGCGATCGTTCCAGATTCTCTGAATCTTTTCATGATGTTATGCACAGTTGATGATGATAACTTAAAAGTCTTTGCTATTTTACGCTGGGTAACACCATTCTGGTATCGCTGCACTATCTTTCTGTGCAACAATGGTGGAATTGGTGATCCTCTTACCATCTTGTCTTCTGAGAGACACTGACACTCTGAGAAGCTCTTTTTATACCCAATCATGTTGTCAATTGACTAATTAGTGTTAATTGGTCTTCCAGCTGTTCATTATACGCTCAATTTCCTTTTTCCAGCCACTTATTGCTACTTGTCCCAACTTTTTTGAGATTTGTTGACACTATGAAATTTTGAATCAACATATTTTCCTTTAAAATGTTACATTTACTCAGATTAAACTTTAGATCTGTCATCTATGTTATATTACGAATAAAATATTGACATTTTCCATCTCCACATCATTGCATTCAGTTTTTATTCACAATTTGTTTAGTGTCCCAACTTTTTTGGAATCTGGTTTGTATTAGGGCTTAGCGATATCTCAATATTTTTCATTCCAGGGACCAGAGCAGGTGACATTGAATCCCACCTGAAATTACTGGCTAAAGCTAAGACTAGGGGTGCACCGATAAATCAGCCGGTCGATCGATCGGCACCGATTTCATTAATTTTGGGAGTTCGGCCCATCTTTAAATGAGAAGCTGATTTTATCCACTGATCATATCTGCCTCCGCAAAGGTCTGAATATCAGCCATTGGCCTTTTTTTTGCTCTGCTGTGAGAGAGGGCTGACTAACAGGCCCGCCCACCAGCTCATGTCTGCACATGCGTCAACAATAGTCTCAGGTCACCCAGAACAGCCATGTCGTTGGTTTGGAAGTTCTGTACAGTTTGAGAAAACGACCAAAAGATCACAATTTGCAATTTGTGCAAAGCGGAAGTAAGTCGTGGTGGAACCACAACCAAAACCTTCAATACAACAAATCTTGTTCGCCATTTAAGAAATCACCACGCAGCCAAGTATACAGCGTTTGAAGAAAGCAACTAAGCTAAAGCTAAAGCTAGCGCAGACAAAGAGCCAGTCGGTGGGCCGCTGTTAACTTTTATGAGCAACAAAAAGAGTAACGCTACCACAAGGAAAGTTATGGAGTTCATGGCATTGGACAATCAGCCATTTTCAGTCGTTGAGGACCAAGGTTTCAGAAACTTGATGCAGCACTTGAGCCCACGATATACAGTAATATGCCAAGTCGGAGATACTTTTCAGATGTTGCGTTACCGGAGTTGTTCCGCCAAGTTTCGAGAGACACCCGCAGCCTGCTCAAAGCTAATACAAATACACTCAGCTTTACAACAGACATCTGGACTTCTGATGCAAGTTTAATGCCCATGTTGAGTTTTACTGCACAGTGGATTGACGAACAGTTCGAACGTCATCAAGTACTCTTAAACTGTAAAGAAATGGTGGGGTCTCACACTGCGGCCAATTTATCAGCAGAGTTTAAGGCGATGTTGGATCACTGGGAAATCGATAATGGAAGAGTTCACGTTGTTTTACGGGATAATGCTTGTAATATGGCCAAAGCGCTGGATGATGCCAACTTGAAAAGTTTACCCTGCCTGGCACACACACTGCAACTTGTAAATGAGGGACAGCTGGCGCAGCGCAGCATCACAGATATTGTGGCAACGGGAAGGAGAATTGTTGGACATTTTAAGCATTCATCACTTGCCTATTCCTGACTCTACGACATACAAACACAGTTCGTTCAGCCCAGGAAACGATTACAAGACGTTTCAACGAGGTGGAACAGCACAGTCTACATGCTGCAGTCGCTGTTGGAGCAGAGACGTGCTATTAGCGAGTATGCTGCTGAGCACAAGTTACCAGCCACACTCACAGCACACCAGTGGGGGCTAATGAACGATATGCTCACCATTCTCGCACCTTTTGAGGAACTCACAAAGGAGATAAGTTCAGCTACAGCAGCAGATGTCATCCCAGCCATCACTGCACTCAAGCGGATTTTGGAGAGGCAAGCAAGCACAGACCGTGGTGTGGGTACAGCCAAAGCTACGTTGCTGGAGGCTGTTGTGAGAAGATTCAGCAACATTGAGCATGAGCCCCTGTACAGCTTGGCCACTATTCTGAATGTGTGTATTACTGTCTCCATTAAGATTGGAAAATTGAAACTGCATTGTGACCTTATAATACCTGACATTGTCGCTTATAAAACAAAATCGGTATCAGCTAAAATCGGAATCGGCAGGTCAGGCTTTTTAGAAATTAGTGATCGTGATCAGTCAGAAAACTGAAATTGGTGCACCCCTAGCTAAGACAAAATACAGTAAAATCATTATTTACGCCGGCAAAAATTACACTCGGCAACGCAAATCAGAGATCACTAAAATTAATGTTGCTTCAGTGTGCAACTTTGCTAAAACTATGTCTGACTTCATAGTTTTCTCCGCCCCCCTCCCCAACCTGACCAGCGATGACATGTTTAGCCATATGTCTGCTTTCAACCAACCACTGGGTGTCCAGGTGATGCTCTGAAAACAACATAGAGAACTGGAGTGCATTCTGGGGAAAACCCGATCTGATGCGGAGAGATGGAATCCATCCCACCTTAAATAGAGCAGCTCTTTTCTCTGAAAACTTAAACCGATGCAGTTGGACATCCGGGTTGTTAACAATTAACGTTCCAGTCTATAAATCAGTCCAGGAAGCAGAGATGTACTCTTCCACACTTCTCTTCTGCTTCTCTGTTACCCACCCAAAACATTGAAACAGTGCCAACTCGCCCATGGCTCAAAACAAATAAACAAAAAATCAGCTCTAAAAATATTAACTGTAAAAATCGTATTCAAATAAACACAACTACTTTATCAGAACAAAATAATAAAATCATTAAATGTGGACTATTGAACATCAGATCTCTTTCCGCTAAAAACTAAATGTCCCAGCAGCCATCCCCTGAATGAGCCGAAGATTTTGATATATGTACAGCTAAAACAGCAGAAAGTCTGCAGGAGTACTAGTTGAGTTGTATAAACATTGAACCAATGAGATGTTTAAAGATGAAAAAAGAATTTATTCTTTATTGTTTTTCTCTGTAGTTGTTCTGGGAGAAGCGTTTAAAAGGCCTGAGGTCTTCAGATGTCACGGAGCAGGTCCTCCGGACCATGGACCTGCCCAAAGGCCTGCAGGGTGGGTCTCCCTCACACAGCTGACCTCTGACCCGTGACCCCTGACCCCTGACCCCTGACCTCTGTCCCCTTGCAGGCATTGGTCCGGACTCCAGCGACGACACTCTGCTCTCGGCCATCGCCAGCGCTCTGCACATGAGCTCCACTCCAGTCACAGGCCAGACATCTGTCGCCGCCGAAAAGAACCCAGCCGTGTGGCTGAACACGTCGCAGCCGCTCTGCAAGGCCTTCACAGTCACCGACGAGCAGATCCGGTGAGACCCGGCTTCTGTCCGGTCCTGCGACGGTCAGAACAGCCAGGGAAAATCTGATAGTTCTGAGATGAATTTAAAGGCAGTGCTGAATGAAGCTGAACTCATTCGGCTGAATTCATTCAGCCGAATGAGTTCAGCAGAAAACTGCTGAAGAAGCTGACACCAGCTGAAAAGTTTTTGTCTCTAATCTGTTAATGTGAGTTTAATTTGAACAGCTGATACTTGCTGAATGCAGGAAAATAAAAGCTGAAAGCAGCAGAACAACATCAGAATTAAACAGAATAAGCTGAAATAAGCAGAGAAGCTGAAAGGAACATAAAAGTTAAAATTATTTTAAAAAAATCATAAAGGCTAAAATGAGCAGAAAAATGTCTAAAAAGTAGCAGAAAAAGTAAAAAAAAAAAAGCATTTGGGTGAAAGCAGCTGAAATGAATACTAAAGGTTGTAAACAGCTGAAGTGTTTGAAGGATGTCAAGAGAGCTCCATTCATTTTCCTTAGATAGAGACCTTTACTAATTGGCTTTTCTTTGTACTGTATGTGAATGTTCCTATAAAGTGCCTGGAGACAACTTTGTTGTGATTGAGTGCTATATAAATAAACTGAACAGAATTTAATTTAATTTTCAATGAGGAAAACATGACAAACTAAGCTGAATGTGTCAAAAGGTAAAAATTGCACAAATACCAGAAGTCAGAGCAGGAATGTCCTGAAGAAGTCGAACGTTTTGATTTATACCAGAACAAACAGTGAAGGACGAGTTACGAACTGAAAACCAGATTTTAATAACGAGAACCATTCAGAATCTTTCAGAGAAAGCGTCAGATCATCCGTTTTTTATCTCACTGGCTGCTTGGAGCTGGAGTTTAGAACAAAAAGAGTGTTGGGATTACTCTCAGCTACTACCACTCCTTGTCTTAACTTTGTTAAAATAGAAATTTTAAATCCAAGAAACTTTTTTTATGGTCATGGAGGAAGATCCAGTATCATACAAAATGTTTACGGTTAGTTAGAAGAACCTGTCCAGATGACCCATCAGAACCAGGTGAGTCCGAACTGGTCTGGTTAGATTTCTCTACCTGGATTATTGAGCAGCAGGACTTTATGATTAGGTGTTGCTGCTAATGGACAGCAGGGGGCGCTGAGGGAGCAGCTGAGACAAACCTTAGGAAATCAGTAACACAACCCTCCTCACCTTCATCCTCCTGTTTTCCTCTCACTCCTTTTCTTGTAATCCTTAGTTTCCTCCTCCCTCCCAGTGTTCCATCCTCGCCTTCCTCCTTCCTCTTTTCATTTCCCTCTTCTTACTCCTCGTTTCCTCTCCACTCACCAGTCTCTCTCCAGCCTTTGTCTCTCCCCACCTCCTCCTCCTCATTTTTTATCTTTTCCCTCCATTAATTTCTCATTCTCTCTTCATCCCTTCTCCGTCTCTCTGGCTGAATGTGCTTGGCATCTTAAATTGCTGCCATTCCTCCTCCTCCTCCTCCTCCTCCTCCTCCTCACTGGTTTTATTTTTAGCTTCACTTATCTTAAATTATTTCCTTTTATTGAACGTTTAAAAAAAACCCTGACCTATCTGGTTTTCATCACCCTCCTCTTCAGATCACCTGCAGCTCCAAACTCACCTGGATCAGAGCTCAGACCATCAGGAAACACCTGACGTGATCATTATGGAAACTGCACAAACAGTAAACATCTTACCTGTTACAGATAGCTCTTTGGAGGACTTCCTGTTTGGAGAAACAAGGTTTGATTTCTGTTTGGACTGATGAGTTAAAGGCTAGTCTGAGCGGCACCAAGACCAAAGTGTGTCTTAAACACTGTGTATCTTAAATCAACTTGAAGCTTTAAATTTTGCCGTGGTTCCTAAAAACATTCATGCTGACAAAAACGTAACAGCACTAAGTTGTTTGTGAGTACCTACCTCCTGCAGACTATTTTAGCTGTGCTTGAATCAAAACGTTCAGCTCTTTCAGCTGATGGGTGCTGGTGTAACTTTTTCTTACTAATACTTCAAATTCAATTCAGTTTCAATTCACTTTATTTCTATAACTCCAAGTCACACCAGAAGTCATCTCAGGGCACTGAACAGAAACATTCATATATATAAAAAGAAAGTTAAGTCAGAGTCAGAGAGTCAGAGTTTCTTTATTGTCATTCGCACCTCATGTGGTACATGTGGTGGAGCGAAATTATGTACACAGGGTCCCAGTTACATCCAACAATAAAATGTATAAGAAAAACAGTAATAACATCTAAGATATGAACTAAGAAAAACATCAACTAAATATACACTAAGCACTCGTAACATAAAAACATTGAACATCAGCACAAACATGAACATGAGTCTGTGAGCAGATGTGCACGCATGAACACATCAACATTGAAACAGATCAGCAGCAACATGAAACAGATCAGCAGCAACATGATATGGTTTTTCACAGTGATTATTCTAGTTAGAGATTCATGAGTCTAACAGCCTCAGGGTAGAAGCTGTTCCTCAGTCTAGTGGTTCTACACTTAATGCTCCTTAACCTCCTTCCTGAGGGGAGTGGGGCAAAAAGTGTGTGTGCAGGGTGGGTGGGGTCCTTCATGATGCAGGTGGCCCTCTTCCTGCATCTGGAGGTGTAGCTGTCTGTGATGGTGGGGAGGCTGATTCCAACAGATTTCTGTGCAGCCTTCACCACTCTCTGCAAAGCTTTTCTTTCTGCAGCTGTGCAGCCTCCATGCCACACATTGATGCTGGAGCACAGGATGCTCTCCACTGCACACCTGTAGAAGGAGGTGAGGACTGAGCTTCCCAGACCAGCTCGCCTCAGCCGTCTGAGGAAGTAGAGTCTCTGATGAGCTTTCTTGATCAGGCTGGTGGTGTTGTTGCTCCAGCTGAGGTTGTCATTCATGTGTACACCCAAGTACTTGTAGCTGGAGACCACTTCCACCGCAGATCCTCTTATGTTCAGGGGGGTGTAGGTGTTTTTGTTCCTTCTGAAGTCCACAATCATCTCCTTTGTCTTCTTCACATTGATGTGAAGGTTATTCTCTCTGCACCAGCTCTCCAGGTGTTCCACCTCTTGCCTGTAGCTGGACTCATCATTGTTTGTGATGCATCCCACCACCGCTGTATCATCTGCAAACTTTACAATGTGACAGCCTGGATGGGTAGCTGCACAATCATATGTGAGCAGAGTAAACAGAAGGGGGCTCAACACACATCCCTGAGGAGAGCCAGTGCTGAGGGTTATGGTGGAGGAGGAGAGGTTGTGGATCCTCACTAACTGTGGTCTGTTTGTTAAAAAGTCTAGTACCCAGTTGCAGATGGAGGGGCTTAGTCCTAGTGTGGATAGTTTGTCCATCAGGGTTTGGGGGATCATGGTGTTGAAGGCGGATGTGAAGTCCACAAAGAGCATACGGACGTAAGAGTTTTTCTGCTCCAGGTGGTTGAGTGCAGTGTGGACCACAGAGGAGATTGCATCCTCTGTTGATCGGTTCTCATGGTATGCGTACTGATGAGGGTCCTCGTTGATGTTGATGGTTGTTTTGATGTGAGTCATGACCAGTTTTTCGAAGCATTTAGCGACTATCGGGGTGAGGGCCACTGGCCGATAGTCATTCAGACCAGTCACTGTAGAGCTTTTTGGGACTGGGATGATGGTGGCAGTCTTCAGGCAGGTGGGAACTGTCTCCAGGGTAAGTGAGGTGTTAAAGATGTCTGCCAGCACCTCACAGAGCTGATCAGCACATTCCTTCAACACTTTTCCGGGGATGTTGTCTGGGCCAGTTGCTTTGTGCGGATTAATCCTCCTGAAGGTACTCCTTACTTCTGCTGAGGTCACGCTGAGATGCTCTTCATCCGGTGGCGAGGTGAGTCTGGTGCTGGGTGGTCTGTTCGGGTCTTCAAAGCGTGCATAGAACTTGTTGAGGGCATCAGGCAGAGATGGGTCTTTGGGGCATTGTTCACTCCTTCCTTTATAATCTGTTATGCACTTAATGCCCCTCCACATGCTCCGAGGGTCTTGTGAGATGAATTGACCCTCGATCCTCTTTGCATATGTGGCCTTGGCCCTCTTAATACCAGCAACCAGCTCTTTTCTTGTCCTACTCAGCTCCTCTGAGTTTCCAGACCTGAAAGCAGTGTTCCTGGCTTCCAGCAGGGTACGCACCTCTGCATTCAGCCAAGGTTTTCTGTTTGGGTAGCTTTTAACATTTCTGATAGTGGAGACTGTGTCAGTACATGTACTAATGTAACCCAGTACTGAGGATGTGTATTGGTCAAGATCAAGCGAACCTCCATTTTCAGCAGCTTCTCTGAAAACCTGCCAGTCTGTTCGGTCAAAACAATCTCTCAGTATGGGTCCACTGTCCTGGATCCAACATTTAACTTTCTTTTGTACCGGTCTGGACCGTCTCAGCGGGGGCATGTAAGCAGGAGCCAGGAAGATTGAGATGTGGTCTGACAGTCCTAGGTGGGGGCGGGGTTCGGCTTTGTATGCATCTTTTACGTTTGTGTAAACACGGTCCAGCGTGCGGTCTCCACGTGTCGGAATCGTCACATGCTGATTAAAGCTTGGGAGACAGTCCTTTAGATTCACGTGGTTAAAGTCTCCGGCTACCACATAAAGAGCCTCGGGTTTTTTGTTCTGCAGCGAGCTGATGATATCGTGAAGCTCCTGCTGTGATTCATTAGCATTAGCGTCCGGAGGAATGTAAACAACTGTGATAAAAGTCACTGTGAACTCTCGGGGTAGATAATGTGGCCGACATTTCACTGTTATTTGCTCCAAAGCCTTCGAGCATGAGCTATTTACAACTGTACAGTTCGTGGACCAACTTTTACTCACGTAAATGCACACTCCGCCCCCCCGTGATTTCCCCGTTAGCTCGCTGCAGCGGTCCGCTCGAAATAAAAGTCTGTCATCCAGCTGGAAGACTGAGTCCGGCGTTTCACTTGTAATCCATTAACATTAACATTTTATATCTGAGGAACAGACTGCTTTGAGTTTAA